GAGCCCTGTCTGGTCACAACGAGAGCACCGTCCTACGGGTGGGCACCGGGTAGCGGTCTCAGGAAGAGGCTCAGTGCTTAGTGTCAACCCCTTCGCCGAACTCCGACCCTCCGTCCTCCGCCGCGCAGCAGCTCTTTGTTTGTTTGTTCGTTCGTTTCCCCCGAGGTGGACTCTGGGCGCGTTGCTCCCCCCACCTCCTCGTAGAGGACCCTCCCAGCGCACCCCTTGCCGGTCTGTTCACTTATTTAACACAGTGAAGGCTCGCCGCCCTCCGCTCCAGGCTTGTAGGTCCTGCGGGGCTGAGTTGGGACAGGCCCGGTCTCTGCTCCCAAGAACGTACATGGGGCGGGGACAGGAGAAGAATAAGACAAACACGTAAGAAAACGCGGTGATTTTATGAAAACATAAAACGGAGGGACGCTTGCGGCAGCTCCCAGTAGCTGGGCGGGGAGTGGAGGAGCAGGCCTTGCCCGTGCCCGGTGCCCAGGTGGCCCCCGTCTCCCTAACACGGGAAGCGCCCTGTACGGCCGGGGAAGGGAGAGGGACTCAGAGGTGCTCCGATCCCATTCAACAGGCACCGCCCGAGGTGTGCGAGTTCCGGCCGGGCCCTGGGCCGGGGAGTCTCTGCCGATGAGCCCGAGAGGGGCCGCCGACCCGTCCGCCGCTCCTCCCGGCGGAGCTCGGATCCACCCCGGGCTCCGTGCGCCCAGGCGCTGCGCCTCCCGGCCTGGCCCGCGCGGGGGCGGTGTGGCCCGGCTCGAGAGTAATTAGGGCAATTAGCGACGTGTGGTTTCAAGGTAATTAAGGGGAAACGAGTGCCCCAAGCAGAAATTAGGGTCTTCGAGCGAGACAGAACCTTGAAGACCCCACACAAGGCGAGAAGAGGGAGTGCAGGCGCGGTCATTCCACTCCGTTGTTAGTAAAGAGCGCGTCTGCTTATCCTGGGAGATGAGAGAGGGAAGGAGGATGCAAATGAACATCTTTAGACGTGAAGACTTTGTAGAGCCCCTTCTCCCAGGTCCTCAGTTACCGTGATGTGCCCACGTGTTTCGGCCTCGCGCCGAGAGCCCCGTGAGGAGAAGCTGGAGCCGTAGCCGAGGGATGGAGGGAGGAAAGGAGGGGCGCGGGTCTGCTTCCGTGACCTCTCGTCAAGCCCAGGTGCCCGCCCCCCTCCCTTTGAGGTCGCTGTTCAGGACCCCAGAAAAACCGACATCCGCGGGATCATACTCCGGCATTTCCCACGCGCGCAGGGCGAGCCTGAAATTGCATTTCTCTGCTCCCTGGAGGCCGCCCCCACCCCCACCCTCTGGTTTCCTTGCAGCTGTGAGCTGAGATGCAGTGGTTCTCAACCTTCCTATTGCCGGGACCCTTTAATACAATTCCTCCTGTTGTGGTGACCCCCAACCATAAAATTATTTTCGTTGCTACTTCATAACTGTAATTTTGCTACTGTTATTAATTGTAATGTAAATATTTAATATGCAGGATGTATTTTCAGGGGTTGCGACCCACAGGTTGAGAACCGCTGTCAGGGCTCCTTTCCCGTGGGGCGGAGTGTCCAGAGGGAAGCCACCCCCAAGACCAGAGCTGCTGTCCTCAGCCCCCTGGACCAGTCCTGGAGGTGAACCCTATGGTGTGGGGTAGAGAGAGGAGCCTGGACATCAGCCTAGAGTCCACAGCGGAAGCCTTACAGGGAAGAAGACCCCAAAGGGGGTTCCCCACCCGAGGGCAGAGCTCCCTCACTGACACCGAGCACACCTGTGGTTGCCGTGGTCTTCAGTCAAGCTTAAGCTGGGGTTTCTGCATCCTGAGGACTCAGGCACTGGACTCCTGCGGGAGGATGGGGTGGCTGCCGGCACAGCTTCCAGCACTGCGGCTGGGCTCATGGCAGAACCTGGGGCTGGGCGGGCAGGTCCTCCAGACTCCTGACAACATGGGATGACGTTGTGCAAATGCTTTCCTTCCGCTGGCCTCAGTTTCCCTGGCTGATGGTTTAAACCTCTGTGAGTCTAACCCTTTTATACTCCTCAGAAAACTCGACTCCCACAATGATCCGTGTAGTCAGGACGAGGGGAATCCGTCTTAGAGATAAAGGCTATGTCCTCAGCAAAGCCAGACCGCATTCCATCCATCCGCTCCTCAGCAGATGACTGTAGTCTCAGCGCCGTGCTCGAAAGGAGGTCCCGGGGAAGTTGGAGGTGCTATTTCTGTGTGGCTCCCACGGGACTTTGGAGGACAATTACTGTCAAACGCTGAGTCCTTCCGTGATGCTGGGCCATTGTGACTTTCTTGCTCTCTGTCCCCCGAGAAGGCCAAGGTCACAGCCGGGGCTGTGGGGCTCTCTCTCACCTTGTTCCTGAAGAGGTCATCTGGGCAGAGCAGGAGGCAGGAGTAGGAAAAAGGGCTGCTCCCCTTCTCTCTTTTTCTAAAAAGGTTTAACTGGTAAAGAATCAAGCCTGTTGCCATGGTTATATAAACATGGGTAAATATTTCTGGGCTGAGGATGGGGGGGTGGACATGATCCATTTTTGCAGAAGAGGAATCAAAAGGTCAGCCTCCTCCCTTCTGCCCCCCAAAAGTCAACCTCGAGGGAGGATAAGATTATCTCACTTGGAAATGAGGACTAAATCGGAGATTTTGAGATTGGTTTTGAACAAGCTTTCTCACAGCCACCCCCCTGAGCTGGGCTGGAACCCTGAGCTGGGCTGGAACCCTGAGCAGGCATCTCAGCATTTCCCCCCTGCCGGTGGGATAAGTGTAAGGGAGATGGTACAGCCCCTGGAAATGCCGTCTGTGGGTGTCAGACAGACTCTTGGGGTTGACCCACCCTAGTGAGGGAGGGTGGCCCCTCTGTCCCACTGCCAGAGCCGGAGGGTCCTGGCACCGATGACTAAGCTTGAAGGGAGGGGCAGAGCCAGCTGTGTCCCAACAGAGCTCAGCTCCTAAACTAAACAATGGAAACACTGCCATTCTCCTGGCCCGGGTCCACAGCCCCCACCTGGAGCACCCGCCCCCCAAGTCCTGGCTAGCTCCTGAAGGCCCGCCCCGGGGTGAGGTGATGTCCATCTCATCGCCATTGGCAACAGAAGAGCTGGGGGCTCATCCTGATGTGAGGAAAGAAACACGTGACCACACGCCGTCTGCAAACCTCATCATCACATCACCCTCCCTGGGGTGGGGTCTCTGTCCCCAGTGCCCTCAAGCCTCCACCCCTTGTGGCTGCCAACAGCCATTACCCGACCCCCCCACCCCCACCCCACGGCTCCCCCAGGTCTCCTGAGCACCAACAGGAAAGGCTGACCCTAGAGATAAACACGTGTTGTTGGCAAGAGTTCAGATATCACTGCGAACTGATCTCTCCAGGCGAGCAGGCCCAGAGGTGCTGAGCAGAGACTGCGTGTCTGAGTGCGCACACACCGGGGCGCTGAGGGGGCGGGAGGGTCTGGATGGAGGCCCAGCTCTTCTCTGAAGAATCTAACTCCTACCTTTCATGGCATCGTCCTCTGTCCATCTGACAGAGAGCTGGGCGCCTTGCCTCTTCCAATCCCAACTCCAGGGAGACAGCAGAGGGAGGAAGCGGCCTCTATCCTGGGGGGCCTCTGGGTTCCCAAAGGAAGAATCTCTTAGGGTTTTAATCGAAGACCCTTCTGACTTGGTAGAGGAATCAAAGACTGCTCGTTAACAGCTCCTTAGCTTTCAGGGTCTCCCAACGTCGCGAGTCATTCTCCCCACTCACAGACAGAGCTGCTGAGGCCCAGGACTTTGGTCTGTGTGGTGATGCAGTAAAGGCTCCCTGTCTCCAAGGTAACCCCTTTCTGGTACCCGGGCCTGCAGAAAGCAGGATGGCTAAGATGACTAGAACCACGGAGGGGGAGAGTCCCGGTAGCTCCCCCTCCACGGCACCGCCATGGCTTCTGCACGTAGTTCTAACCTAGACCTCGCTCCCACAGCCCTACCTTCTTTACAGAGTCACCCGGCGGCAGGACGGGGCTGTTGGTTATGCAGGAGCTAAATTTTTTTTTTTTTTGGTTGGGGGGGAGAAGAAAGGTATTGGAGGAAGAAATAGAAGGACAGTAAGTCCTTACTTATCATTGTCGATGGGTTCTGAGACTTTAGCGAAACGACATATAAGGAAACCATTTTTACCGTAAGCTAATCGATACAAACAAGAGTTAAGTTCCTATGGCATCTCATAAAGGGACGTTGAGTGAGATGCCCTTATTCGAGAAAACTCCGTGTATGAATGGGCTAACTCATCTGAATAATTCAGGGGGAATTTTAAGTGCAAAATTAGGCTAGTTCAAGTAATATACAGAGCCCTTCTTGGAATTAGTTGCAGCTATGGGCCTGGTGCTTAGAGTACCTGAGTGATGGCTTATTGCTGTTTGGAAAGCAAATATTTCCATTTTGTAAACATTTGCTGGAAAAGCAAACATTTTTTTCAACTGCAAAACACCTGAAGAATGCCAGGGCACAGCTAAAGGAAACGCTTAGGAGATTTGTGCAAACGAACGCTGGTGTACTGCCCTGACAAGGAAAGGGGCTCGCTCCACACGCTCCTGGGGGACATTCGGCCACATCCCATGTCCCAGAGACCCCGCGCTGGCTTCCCTGGCCTCACCGTGGCCTGCATCTCAGAGCGAGGGCTCATGTGATCACACACCACTTGGCCATCGCCACCCCCTCTAGTAGCTGTGGGCGAGGACCAGGGGTTGGCAGTCTGCCAGGGAGAGACTTGTTAGCGAGAGAGAAAGGAGGCTGCCTGCTTCTCCTCCCTGGGCTGTGCAGTGAGGAGGGAGAAAAGACAGTTTTTCCTTCTTCGGTCACAGTGGTCGCCAAACTCATTAGTCAACAGAGCCAAATATCAACAGGACAACGATGTGAAATTTCTTTTGAGCCAAATGTTTTAAACTTAAACGATATAGGTAGGTACACTGTTATTAATTAGGGTACTCCTAAGGCTTAGGAAGAGCCACACTCAAGAGGCCAAAGAGCCGCAGTTTGCCGACCACGGGCTTAGTGTGTCTTTGCTTCCACCAGGCAGCTCCATCCACCTTTGCTCCTTTTCAAGGGCCAGAGACAGCCCTGAATCAGACCTCAGCCCTGAGGGATGGAGGAGATTTCGGCCTGGACACCCTGAGGGGACCCAGTGTCGGGGTGACAGCCGCTTCTGTGGCGGCTTCTGCTCACCTGGGGTTTTGTGGGGTGGGCAGCGGCTCCCGGCAGCGGCAGCAGCCCGTACCAAGACAAAGCCTCAGGTTTCCAGAGCGGAGAGCCAGGGAGGCCAAGGAACACTGTCATCGCTTAACAAATGAAGACACATATTGAAAAACAGGAGCTGAACCTGCAAAGGAACCTGGGCTGTTCCTGCCCCACCCCCTCCCGCCTGTGGACAGGTTTTCTTTGCTGTGATTATTCCCCATGAATCATCATCCACCGCAGCGACTGAGGCGATGGAGAGTGAATAATGAACCCCAAATGGGCTTTTGTGTCTCTGCCTGGAGGGTTTGGGGCATAACTAGCATTTTCATCTTTCTGACTTAGCGTCACAGCACTGGGGGGCTGAGAGGGCCCTTCTAGATAATCAGGGGACTGTGAGCTCGTGGAAAGACCAGAAGTCAGGGCCGGGGCGGGGGCGGGGGGCTGCGCATCCGGCCTGCCGCTTACACAGGGCCCCTCCGTGCATTCAGGGCCTTCCTTGTGTCCGGCTCTGGCCGCTCCTCCCAGACGCTCGTGGCAGGGGCTCCTCTGCCTCCTTCTGCAGATGAGGAAGGAGACAGGAGCCAGAACCCTCCGGGCACCAGAGGCCCTGGCTTGGGCTCCGGAATCCACACCCTTTGGAACAGACGAGTAATTTTATTTTAAAACTTTTCTGTTTGTCAATCCTCACCAGAGGATATTTTTTTTCCACTGCTTTTCAGAGGGAGTGGGAGGAAGGGAGGGGCAGAGAGAGAGAGAGAGAAACTTCGACGTGAGAGAGACACATCATTTGGTTGCCTCCTCCATGTGCCCCAACAGGGGCTGGGGATTGAACCTGAAACCCAGGTATGTGCCCTTGATGGGGAATCGAACCTTTCGGTATGTGGGCCGACGCTCTAACCAGCTAGCAACACAGGCCAGGGCGAGACAAGTAACTTTAACCTCTTCGGGTCTGCTTTCTCCTCTGCGCTCCCTAAAGTTTGAACACTCTAACATTTCCTGCCCAGGCATTTCATTTTACAAGTCAGGAAAGTGCAGAAAGGTTAGGGGATTCTCCCTTGTCACTCACTTTGCTAACGGCAAAACCAGCCCAGAAAAACAGACCCACCGACCGATCTTTCTACTCGATCCAGGCAGGTCCCGCCCCCCCGCACCCCAATCTCACTTCGGCAGGTGTTTCTAGAGGAACCCAACTCCTTGCCTTTGAGACCATCGGTGCTATGGTTTCAGATGATAGACTGGAGGTGTCAGGAGGGGTGGGCCAGTCACAGCACCGGGCGAGCTTAGGAGGCTGGTGATATCTGCCTAACCACCTCGGACCCCTCTCTCTGTCTGCTGTGCGCTATCTTTCTCAGGGATCGGAATCATGCGGTAACCACGGGAACAAGCATGGCGATGCCGTGTCTGGCGTGGCACATACACGCTCTCCCCAGGGAATGGTGTTTACACTTGCTTGTCCTCATGGAGAAAACGTGTGTCAGTCTCTCACCCAGATGGCTTTCAGGGGGCAGTGGTGACAGTCTGCCCCTCCCTACCCTTCCCCTGCCCTTTGTTCTCCCCCACCCCCACCTCCCATCCCGGATGCAGTCATTCTCTAGGAGGTGGTGAGTGTGCCCTGGGGGGAGGCAGGGTCCAACCCTGTGCCCAGCAGCCAGCATGCACCGCCCTCAGCACCCCATCCTGGGGTTCCCCTGCCCCCTCCCGGGGAAGGAGAATTGGAAAGGGGTGCAGGTGTCAATACACAGATCCCAGAGTGCCTTCCAAGTGGGGACAGGGCACCCGGGCAAGGCTTTAGTATCTGTGTATGTGTGTGTGTGTGTGTGTGTGTGTGTGTGCCTGAGCGTGTGAGCGTGCACAAGGCTCAGACACTGAAACGCGCCCTCGCCCCTCGGGGAGTGGAAAGTTAGCCTTGGTAGGTGAGGAGCCGGTGCCAGGGGAGGACGCCAGCGGGTATCGGTGTGATCTTCTCCAGTTGCTGTTGCTGGTGTTGCTGACACTCTCTCCCAGTCCCCCGAATTGTAATGAGGCGGCTGGGCAGTGGCTGGGAAGGGTCTGGGCGTGTGGGGAGGGGCGTGAGGCCTGCGATGACCGCCTCGCTCTGGAAGCTGGCCGTGCCGTGGCAGGTGGGCTGCGCCGAGGCAGCTGAGAGTTGGCATGTGCCCATGGCCCACAAAGCAAGCTGTGTGGCTCCGTCGCTCTGGTGGGTGGGAGGAGAGATGGCAGCCCAGGGACTAAATCGGGGACGTTCTGCCATATGGCGGATGTGGGAGGCGACGCGGGCCTGACGGCAGGCAGGGAACCTGGGGTCTTGGACCGGCTCTGCTGCCTCGAGACGGCCCTGCACACGGCCCTGCACACGGCCCTATAACCTCTCCACGCCTCGTTCGCTCTAGCTGTAAAGCGGGGCAGGTAATCCCAGGCTACCTGCCCGTGGGAAGGGAAAGTGTCTACTGGCCCTTTGGAAGATCAAGAGCACCGTGGCCAAGCGCATGCTCGGAGCCCGGGGGCGGCAGCAGTCCGCCGGGCGTCTGTGTCGCAGCCTGTGCTCGGAGAGGGACATGCGCACCTCACACCCACACCCCTCACCTCCCATCTCAGGCGGCACAGGGAAGGGGTGGGCTGCTGCTCTCTGACCGTCTGGTCTTCCCATCGCCTGGCGCTGGGCCCCTGCCCCCCACCCGAGGCGGTGATCCCTCTGCCCTCCCTCCTCTGCTCCCCGCCTGTCAGTTTAATTTAACGAGGTTGCGGGAGAGGTTTGATCTAATCAAGCCGGTTGCTGTATCCATTCTGCTCCGAGGTCCCTGGGTGTCACCACCGAGGCTCCGATTAGGCAGTGACAATTACTTTTTCTGCCCTGGCTGGTGCCCCCACCCCCACCCCCCTCCTGTCCCAGAAGGGACCTGGGAGGCAGGCCAGGCTCCTGGGACCTAAGAACGATGCGGAGGATCAAAGGAGGGACTGGTCTGGCCAGAGAAAGCCCCTGTCTGCCTGACATGGCCTGGTTTAGAGCTGAGGGCAGCCCGAGGGGTGGGGGGCAGAGCATGTGAGCAGCGCTGCCTGGAGCGGCTGGAGGCGCCTGAGGACAGAGCTGTGCAGCATCTGTGCCATCGTAGATGCCCCGGAGATAAACCCACTTTGCCTCATTGTCAGGACCTGGGTGGAGGTTGGGGGAGGAGGGTGGAGGGTCGGCCCTGGGGGTAAGGGACCCGTATGCTCTGCACACCCCAGGCCACAGGCCTTTTCTTCCAGGGGCTCTGCCTGGATTCTGGGGTCCGAGCTGGGAAACAGCAACAAAAACAGGTGAGACTCCATCCGTCCGAGTCTCCGTTCTTGGCGGGACATCAGCAGTGGCCGGACGAGCTGCCCCCTGGAGCAGGGTTCAAGGGGCGGCGTGGGTGTGGGGGGGGCAGGAGGGTCACTGGGGTCGGGGTGGTGGTGTGTGTAATGTCAGGCTGGAGAGGAGGCCAGGGGGTCTCGGTGCAGACACCTCAGGGTTCAGAGGTTTCAAATTCCAGAAGAAACCTCTCCTCTGGCGGGTTCGGCCTCCCATGGCCCTCCTCTGCCAGGCAGCGGGTGCTCAGCACCTCTGTTCCCGGGCAGCTCACCGGAGAGAGACAAAGGCCCCCGAAGGCCATGGGAGTCCTGGGGGGGCGGGGGATGCTTTTTGCCTTTTGCTCCTTTGTGTCACCTCCTCCCATCGGGCAGCTGACAGGTGCAGCCTTCCCGGGCCCCTTCAGGGTCCCCTCCCGGGCGTCCGTGTCTCCCCCAGATATCCAGCAGACAGCATCCTCCTCGGAGCCGCTATGACGAGCAGACACCCTCCTGACAGCCCCAGCGAGAATCCCCCCAATGCATATTCTATTGAGTGCATCTCACCGCAGCTGACAGCCGCTTTATCAATTACATTCCACGTTCCCAGCCGTCAGAGACGCCACGGGCCTCCCCACCTAATAAATCACAGGCCCCCAGTTATTGTTAAATGTCCCATCAGTCTCTAATAAAATCCCTGCCAACAGGGCCAGGTTATTTATTATGCTGCCCGGACGAGAATGAATGGGGCCCCGCTCTCACACGGAGAAGAGCGAACGTGATGCCTCCGTCCCCGAAGACTGAGGCTCTGATATTAAAGGGGCAATTAATCACCCTGGGCCTTGGGCAGAGGGGCGTCCCATCTGGAGAGAGGGAGGATGGTCTGGCAGGTAAGTCATCGTGGCGAGAGGTGGCTGCACAGAGCTCAGGGGGCCCGCCTTTGCTGTGCCCCCCCGCCCCAATCCTGTGGGACAAGGTCTGAAAGCATGGTCGCCCCCTAGGCTGTGGGAGCAGCCTCTTCAGATTAAGCAGGATCCTGAATAATAAATTGTCTGGAGGGCCAGGTACTCATACTTGTTAAACTTGAGAGAACGCGTTTATTGATGGTGCCAGTCCACTGAGCAGATGAACTGAATGAAGAATGAATAGAGGAGCCCGGCTGGTGTGGCTCAGTGGTGGAGCATCGACCTGTGAACCAGGAGGTCACGGTTTGATTCCTGGTGGGGCACATGTCCAGGTTTCAAGCTTGATCCCCCGTGTGAAGCGTGCAGGAGGCAGCCGATCGATGATTCCCATTATTTATGTTTCTCTCCCTCTCTCCCTCTCTGAAATCAATACATACATATATGTTAAAAGAATGACTATAGGAGGGAAACAGAACTCGGGAACCGGTGCTCAGTCACCGCTGGCTGGACATGGGCACGCAGGGAGCACTGGCGCTGGGAGAGCCATGTGCCACCGCCGACAGGACCCAGGACCTGTGAGGGGCAAAGCGGCCCTTGCAGTCACCTCTCAGGTAGTTCCCAGGCTCCCATCATGCTCCACGGTCTGCAAGTTAAAATCCAAACTCCTCCCCTTGGCCGTCAATCCAATCCCACTCTACATGTCTGACTGTATTCCTCTTTATTGCTACAAAACACTCCCCCCCTTTCCCAAGAACACAGCACACTCATTTCTTGGTAAGTTTTTACTGATCTCAGAAGGGGGTGGGGAGAGAAACATCAATGATGAGAGAGAATCATTGATCGGCTGCCTCCTGCACGCCCCCTACTGGGGATGGAAACAGCAATCCCGCCTGTGTCCCCGACCCACCGGGAATCAGACACTGACCTCCTGGTTCATGGGTCGATGCTCAGCCACGGCCTGTGTCCCCAACCCACCGGGAATCAGAAACTGACCTCACTGAGCCACAGCGGCCGGCAGCACTCATTTCACATGGGCTGTGGTGGCAGCAAGGGCCTCCCTAAGGTGGGAGGGATGTATCTCCGCAGCCTCGTTTCCTGGTAACTGCTGTCATACTTGCTCTCTTCGCACTAAAGGCCTGCGTTCCCTGAACGACTGTGGTTTCTCCCGCTTCCACACCTTTGTACAAACTGTTCCCTTTGCCCAGAATATCTCCCTAACGTGTCTGCCTGGGGAGCTCTCCCGCAACCCCCCTTACTGCCTGGTGAACCCCTTACCGACGTTCGCTTCAGCATCAGCCACAGAAGCCAGCCCAGGGCTTCCTGGGACCCGAGCTCTCTCTCCTGGTGCGCGGTCTTGGCAGCGATGCTGGCCTTTGGGACGGGGATGAGGAGGACGGGGAAGAAAGGGATTGCTCTCCGAATGCCAAGCGCGGTTTGCCTCGGTTTCTCAGAAGTGTTTCCTCTCCGCCACGTGAGCGCCGCACGAGAAGCAGGGCAGGCCCGGGACATGTCAGTCCTGCGTGTGATTTTACACTGCCCCCCCCGCGCCTTGCGTGCGGCCTCCTGGATCAGCGCCTCCTCTGCGCCTGTGTCTTTCTCCCTGAAGGCAAGGGCTCCGTTTTGTCCTATTTTTGTGTCTCCGGCAGCGTTTGGCTGATTCATCTGAGGTGTTCTGGAGGTTTTTGTGGAAGGATGAATAAAGAGATGTTTGTGGATGGAATGCAAATGGTAACGTTGCCTGCCCTTTGTTGCTTTGAGTGTCCAATGAGAAGAAGTGGCTATAAAAGCTTCGTACAGTCCCTTCTTTTCACATTTTCCCACAGATCCTCACCCCCGGGGCGGGGGGTGGCGTGTCCCTGCCTTTACTTACATTAACTTCTTTCCCTCTGGGTATAGGAACAATGGAGGGGACCATTTGAACCTCAACATCCATTCGGAATCTGAGTCTTACTCCCTCTTCTTCCAGCTCCCAGGTACCTGAGGTGAGACAGGCTTTCCAGGCAGAAGGAATCGCATAAAAGGAGACTGGGCACCCTTTGCGATTTTATCTCGGGGGGAGCCCAGGAGGCAGACAACAATCCAACTGGTTTCTGTGCCCGCTCCTCTCATGCCTTACCAAGCTCTTCAGTGGTCTCTTTGCGTTTTATCTTCACAGCGCCAAAAAGTGTGATCAAACACATTATTGCAACTTTTGGCTACTGAGGAAAACACTATTGATTTGTATTTTTAGTTATAGCAATACAATTGAGTCCCAGGAACCCCACTGCAACAGGTGTGTCATAACCAGCACATGCAGGAACAGAATGCTGCTAAGACGGCACGTGTTCTGGTCTGGAAAACTAGTCTTTTTGTTTCCTTTGGCAGGAGAGCGGGGTCTTCGGCAGTGACGGGTTTGAGTTCTGCAGACCACACCTGTGGGCATGGAGTCGCGGCAGGGACTCTTGAGCAAGAGAGTGTCAGCCAGTTGACCCATGTTTCTGAGGTCCACCACCGGCCTGGTGCTGGGCTGGAGAGCATGGGGCACCCGAAATTCCTTCCTTCAGAAGCTCATCGTTTCTTGAGTGTGAGGGACAGACATGTAAACAAGGAACAAGAACATGACGAGAGCTAGACTGGAAGTATGTGCGGTGTGAAAGGGGAGCCTGGGGTGGTCGATAAAAAAAAGGTGGTCACAAGGAACAGGATCTGGAGCTGGACCCAAACAACCTAAGAGAGCCTTGCAACCTTCAGGAAAATCATGCCGTCACCCGCGGGATGGGTGGCTGGAGTGGGAAGAAGCTGGGCAGGGACAGCATTCAGCAGGTGGTTGCAATAGTTAGGATGATGAAGGGGCCTCATAGGGCAGGTGCTAGGGAGGCTGGAGAAGAGGAACAGGTGAGATATGTGGAGACAATTACCTGCACTGAATGGTTAGAAAGGGGAGAGAGGGATGGTAGAAGGTGAAGTCAAGAATAATTCCCAGGCCGCCGAAACCGGTTTGGCTCAGTGGATGGAGCGTCGGCCTGCAGGCTGAAGGGTCCCAGGTTCGATTCCGGTCAAGGGCATGTACCTGGGTTGCGGGCACATCCCCAGTGGGAGATGTGCAGGAGGCAGCTGATCGATGTTTCTCTCTCATCGATGTTTCTAACTTTCTATCTCTCTCCCTTCCTCTCTGTGAAAAATCAATAAAATATATTAAAAAAAAAGAATAATTCCCAGGTCTGTGAGATTTGGGGGTTGCTGGGGTTCTTGTTCCAGCATTAAGAAGGGTTCAGCAATCTGGAGAAGGGGCTGTGTGTAACTTAAATAAGAGTCCAGAGACGAAGCATAATTTTGAAAGGCATTTGGGGGGTCAGAGGAGCCTAGCTAAAGACCCCATGCTTTTTATTAACACAAATTGTCCTGAGGCAAGGCAGAGATACACACTTCAAAGGGTCAGGTTTCATTTACCGAGTCCATTGTCAGATTGGAAGACTTGCCTACGGCTGTTCAGGTGTTTGGCCAGTAGGAGGCAATATCATGTAGATAAAGATGCCCTGAGCTGTCTGGCAGCAAACAATCAATTTCGTGCAATCTTTTCAGGTTTGGGGAAACGCCCTGGCCACTCCAGATGATTCATCCCTGCTGAGCGTGCTGGAATTGGCTCAGGGCAAGGGATCAGGTGGGTAAGAGAGGTGGGGTACCAAGAGGAAGCCTGGCACCTTTCCCGCCCCCTCCCAGGGGTGCCCCTTCTTTCCTACGGACAGTTGACATTTTCTACATTTCTAAGCAAAATGCATCTTTAGGACCCTCTTTCAATGAGATTATTATGCTCAAGTCCCTCCTATAGGCTTTGGAATCACTGAGTGGGGTGTGTGTGTGTGTGTGTGTGTGTGTGCATGCGCAATGGAAATGTAAAGGACCAGGATTATGATATAAGGACAAAGGAAAAAGTTGGGTTTGGATGCAGAAATTTTTAAAGTGAATTGTGAAAGATGAAATTGCAGACATGGAATCACTACTAAAGCTTGTTATTGGAAATCAGTTATTCCGTGAATAGTGAGCACTGTGTGTCCGACTGTCCCTTTTCCATTAGAGACACAGCCGGCAACAAGACAGAATGGGCCTCTGTCCTCACGGAGGGGGAGACACAATAAGCCCACGTCATCGTCGGCAGTGGGAAGTGCCACGGAGGAAAGTAGAGCCGGGGAGGAGGAACGGGGAGCCGCAGGCTGGGAGCTTAGGGTGTCCAGCAAAGGTGGTGAAAAACGAAGTTAGCACCTTCGGAGGGGTCGGAAGGGACGGGAGCAACGCACAGAAGTGTTACATTTGCGACGTCTGTTAGGCATCTACACGGAGACGCTGAGAAGGGGGATGGATGTCCAAGCCTGGAGTTTAGGGTGGATACAGAATTCGGGAGTGTCAGTCCGTCTGCCAGCTTCGATGCAATTCACTTGCATTAGCGCTCGGGCGCCGGGCACTGCGCTGGGGGCTGGGACCCGAGATGAATACCTCGGTCCAGCGGACGAGACCGGACCACGCGGTCAGTGTCTTCCAGCCAGACTCCGGGCGCCTTCCGCGGGCGCAGAGGGGCGGCGGGTGGGCGCCGGAG